GGGTTGAAAAACCCTACCCTTTGGGGCCGCACATACCTATATAGCCCATATAAGGGAGTACCCCCCCCCGCTCCCAGGAATATTGTAGTTTTCATAATTTTATCTCTACTGATGTGTTCCCCTCTCGTCCTCAGTCACGTGATGGCATTAATTCATTTTATTGAGTTAAATTTGGGATTACAAAATGTGTTCATTATATACTACGATTATCTGTTGAGTAAGGCACAACGAAAATTTGGTGACGAAGTTTTAGCTTTAAAATTACGGTGTTGTCACGGGCAACTTTCCTCGTTTCCATTGGTAACAATGTCATCAGCCGTGCGTTGCCTGTCGCGTGGCCTAAAATTTCACGCGTTTTGCCGCTGATGACGTCAAAGGCCGACAAGTCAGTGCCACTGGAAACGGAGCCAGTTGCCCTTGACAACAACACGATTTTCACGTTAAAACTTCGTCGTGCCTCACTCAACAGCTGATAATCGTAGTAACCCCAGGGCTTAATTTGGTTATACCGGGTGTTTTTTATAGTAATATATATCGGCGTTTAAAACTTTGGCCAGACTTACGGATGCCGGATACTTTTTTCATTATATCGGCTTCCACTGTTTCTCAACGACTATCAACCTACAAGCTAATTTACAAGCTTTGACTAGTCGACCCACTAGTTGATAGTTGGCTCATTCGAACGACCGATAAACCGCACTCCATCCTTGATAATGAGCATTTTTTGCAGTGATCGAATTACAGTAATCGAATAAAATGAAAGGTACTGTTAATTAGCAAAGAGGAAAATAGTAAATACATTTTGCGTTTACTAGCGGTACTTTTGTTCACACTCATTTACATAGCAACTTCCGAATGCGACGTTTTTATAGCTTCAATACAGTCATTTGTCTTCAACGTCCTGAAACAAGACATAAAGAAGCCATTCTTGGTTCATTATACCACGGTGAGTCGGGCCGCTTATGAATCAAGCGACAACTATGCACTTTTTTTAGAAATCAACTGTATCATTTCGAAGTACTAGCGACAAATAAATTAAATTTGTCCAACAGATTGATAGCTGATTAAATAAGACCCTCCCTAGACATGCATTACATAACTAAGGGTCTGATCGAATGACTGAATTATCTTCATTTTCGTGTCGCAAGCAGCAACAATAAAATATCATTATTTTTTGCAAACCATGAAGCAAAACAAAGACTTCAGGAAGAGCGAGAAAGATTGATCTGCACATCGGTAAAGGTAACTTATATTGATTGCCATTCAGAAAATATAATAAAATGAAAAATTATAGACCTGAATCGTGGGCGGGGTAATACGATAGAAGCCTGATATACAATACCGAACTAAGCTTTTGGTAAAATGTTTCAGTAAGGTATTCTTTACAATTACATGTACAAACATTTCAACGAAAAGAGAAAAAGGTAGTTTCGATGTTTCAAGATATGCTCGCCATTCATGTAAAGCTCCCTTAACGCATGCAAACAATAACAGAGGTTGATATGGGCCTCGAAAACGTTGTAAGGAATATGACGATGAAGAAAAAAAATAACAGAGAAACTTCTGGAATTCTCTACTAACTTACAGCGAGTTTTTGAATGTAATGAGGTATTTTTCTTTCCTTGGTTAAATAGCCTAGTGAGTCAAGTTAAAGGCTCAGTAAAAATTGGTCAACCTTGTAAGATTCAGTCGAAAGCATTTTTGGCATGTGGCGACAGTTCGTCTGTGTCAGAGCAGCGCTAATATAATATATCTATTCAATTATATTGTTTTCAGGTTTTGGAAGGTTTTGCTAGCTCTGATGAGCTACTTTCATGCTAAGATATCGTACATCTATTAAATTATATTGTTTTCAGGTTTTGGAAGGTTTTGCTAGTTCTGAGTGATATTAACTGAAAAGGAATCATAAATGCAACACATTTACCCTTTTGACCCTGTCAAATAGCATTTTTTTACGGTGGAGTTGTACCCTTTTCAGAGCGGAACCTTCTTTGTTTTTGTTTTTTTTGTTTGTTTGTTTTTTGTTTTTTTCTTAAAGTGCTAAGTTTCGAAATTATCTCTAGTCACAATGCCCTCACAATAGCGATAGCGCAACCATTTATCTTTGTGTAAATGAAAACCGTGCTGGCGATAATGGTTGATCAAGCTCGATTGCATCCACTCAGCAGGCCAAAATCAAGATGAAAAAATTATGCTTTTCACCCGCACTTACCCAGAAAATTGAATTTTGTCTTATAGACAGGCCTTATCACAGTATTCGACGCCATCTTGACGGGTAGGCAAAGAGGTCAGAAATTACATTGTTTGTATGAGAATCCGATGGCAAATAACTTTTTCCAAAATTCAATTTTACACAATTCGTGAATCGCAACGTTACAATACTAGGTAGACGATTATATTCACCAAGTTTGCAGGATGAAGCCTGGTTAAAAGGCACTCAGTTAATTTTTCTAAGTTTCCATACATTTGTCTGTAAATTTGGCTCGGTAGACGCGGTTCGGTGGAAAAAATATAGACAAATGTATAGGAAATTAAAAATTAACTGAGCGTCTTCTAGCCCAGTTACGTCCTTCAAATTTGGTGAATGCAATCAGCTACCTAGTGTGGTAAAGTTGCGACTCGTAAGTTGTGCAGAATCAATATTTAAATAAAGTTATTCCCATACAAACACTGTAATTTCTGACCGCTTTGACTTCCCGGCAAGATGGCGTCGAAAAGCGTGATAAGGCCTATCAATCAGAACCACTCAGAACTCTCCTTTTGCCAAATTTCAAGGCTAAGCTAGAAAGATGCTGGCATTTTATATGGTGTGCTAAATAATTGTAAATTTGGATGTTTTATTGAATCACTGTCAAGCTCACAAATGATTTTCGATCGGTTTCTTCCAAGACAGCCAAATATTCACGAATTAGCTGTTGTCCTACTACAGGCGGTCGTGCGTAAAACACCACCGCAAATATGAGAAAAAAGCAATGGTCTAATGACTAAACACATCAAAAGGTTTTAAGTCCTGCCTTGTCGGGATGGATAACAAATTTAAAAGAATTCTATTTTTTTTTTTTAATTTCCAAGGGCATTTTGCTATGGAAACACATTTTATGAGGAAACGTCTATTGCTGGTTTTCATATGACGTAGTCATATTCCAAAAATAAAATTACCTATCCCTCTGAGTTATTGGTTTCATCCGATATAAAAACCTCTGAGAACTTGGCGACAGGGTTCCTCGTTTTGTAATAGGGCACGTTTAAATTTCCAAGCTTTGGCCGTTGCGTGACATTCTGACATGGTGGCCCGAGAAGGCTCTCGCGTAAGTGAAAAGATGAGTTATCGCTTAAGGTGGTCTTATACGTACCCTAAAATAGATAGTTTTCCCCAGGAAAAAAAAACATATTTTAAAACGATTTTGCTCTAATCACTCCTTGAGAACGTTTAAATTAAGAAATCTGTTTCTTTCCACAAATATAACGTAAACTGACCGCCTAAATATATTTCAGGAAATTTTCAGAGCATCTCTAAATATCACAAAATATTTTCTGAATATTTCGAAAAACCCTTCAAATATTATTTATTTGTGTTTTAAAAATAAATCAATTTCCAATCACTTGCGCCAAAATTTCCTTGCAGTAGTTGACGGAGCAGAAGACAATTCGGGAGCGTCGATATGACCAGCCTAGCTAGCATCCGCCATTTTGAAAAGTTACTCCTTACTTACTTTTAATGCTATGGAATATATTTTTAAAACAAACCGCTGAACTGCATTGTTTCTGGCCTACAACTGACCTTTATTCCAAGAAAAACAAAGGGCTCAGCCAAAATAGCTGTGAATATACTTTCAAATATCCCAAAATGTTCTAAAGAATATCTTAATGCGTTCTAAATATCTCGGAAACTTCCCAATAGCCCAAAAACTCTCTGGATATATGTGGAAAGGTCTAGCAACTATATTTCAACCTAGCAACGTCCATAGCAACGGTTATTTACAGTCCAACGTGCTTACAAAATAGCTTCAATTCATCCATCCATCCATCCATCCATTCATTCATTCATTCATTCATCCCTGCGATTTTATCTACGAGGACAAGTGATATAGAAAAGGGAATGAGGACATGGTCTACGTACATACATACTCTAGTCTATTTATACTCCAGGACCTGTATAAAACTTTCTTAAATCCCCCGTAAATTCCCTCCCCCCCTTCCCACCCCCAACCGTTCACTTTCCCTTACCCATAGTAGTCTGGAGCAATTTCTGGTCGAGTGCCGGATTATCCAACATGCCAGCTGCATGGACATCATGACGTCATCATCTTATTTTGCCTTTAACTTAAAGGGACGTTTTTAGGCATACTGTATATTCTCTATTCTTAATATAACTCATTGAATATTCTTGAACTTACGAAGCAAAGTGAATTCTGACCATTCTCGGCCAGAGAAGATCAAAAGGGCCGGTCTGAACAGAGTTGAATCAATCATTTAAAACAAGCTGCTAAGGCTAAGGTCACGCGAGCGGCTATACAAAACCAATGCCAAAAATGCTTACTTATGCATACGGCGAAGTCAGTTAATGAAAAAATTTCGTTATGTTCACTGAGATGTGAAAAGTCTAGAGGTATGTTAAGCTTAATTCTGGAAACGAAACATGCCAACGATCGGTGGCTTTGAAAAGTGAATGGTTTATTAATTCATGAGATTCACGATGGCCACCGGTTTCTTAATGAGACTTTAATGGATGTGAAATAGCAAATTCAACTGAAGACATGGTTTGATGGGTATCATGCAAATTAGTCACCTGCTGCCCTCATTAAATGCAGCCAAGTTATCTATGCATTGGGAGAAACGGGAAAAAGAGATCGGCCTCTGTCCAATGAATTCCTCTTGTTCCTGTTTATGGATATTGGATCAAGTGTAGGACTGCATGTACAAGCTACTTATTGTAGGTTTTTACTTTACCAGGTATCAAACGAGGCTAACTTGAAAGGAAGTGTTTTTTTTTATGAAGATGGCAATCATAAAAGTTAAGCCTACGAGGCACTAGAGGTGAGAGAATAATGGTTTACTTTTTTATGCATTTTTTAATTTGTTAGCGTTACTAGACAAAGCCAAATATACTGCAGCTAAATACACCTTACTCGACTAACTACATCTTGTAAATAACATATCTTGTAAGAGACAATGTCTCCTAAGCGACCACCCATCTTGTAGGTAACAACCCTGGCGTCAATAAACGAAGCTCTCTTGTTCCTTACACGTTATCACCACTCCAAAGGTCTTCGAAACATCGCCACCTCAGAAGCGATTTCCCAAGCGACAAGCTCTCGTAAGAGGCGAACACTAATAACACAAGCGACCAGCTTTCGCGACTTAAATCACTGTGAATTTCATGAATTTCTCACCGAGTAATTTAACTTCTCTATCACTTCCATTTCCCATTAACTACTACCTAGTCTTGGCAAAAGAATGTGGTCCCAAACAAGAGTTCGACAATGCATAGTACATGGAACGAAATTTAACTGCGAGGTCAAGGACAAACCCTCCCATTTTCGTATTTTCTCGTAAATCACGTTCGATTCTCCGTGTTGGTAAAATTAAAAGTGAATATTCTCCCGCCTGTTGATCAGTGTTTCTAGAACGTCCGGCAAATGTACACTCTGCAGTTACTGCTGCATCAGGTTGCCAGTATCGACTATCTAGAAATATCTTGCGCATCAACTACTCCTTGTAATAAACAAAATCGGTTAAGTTCTCGCCAGTTTTGTTTCTATTATTAATTATTAAGGTCCTAATCACGACACGAAACAAAACATCTACGATGTGAATACATCAGTCTATACAATAGGCGTGAAGTGAAGCCAACATTTCTGTGTTAACTCAGAAAATGACTGAATAATCATTTACAGACAGCTCCTGTTCATTACATCAACAATAGTCTCCATTTGGGGCGGAAATATGCTCGGATATTTGTCCGCGGACATTATCTGTACCGAGAAGCGAACAGATTTCCGAGTGCGTCGCTCGAGGAAAACTGTGAGCTTTGAAAGGACAAATATCTGAGCATATGTTCGCGCCAGATGGAAGCTATTGTGTTTAATATCCTTCAAATATTTTTCGAATGACGAGTTTAGACTAATCGGGCGCGAGCGAGTTTGATGGATTATGAACCGTAAAATCTTTATGACCGGTGTTATCGAAAACCCTAAATAATGCAATTGTGTGTATTTTCTCGATCTTGATGCTCGTATTGATTCAATGTAGACTGCCTTACCTGTTTTTTGACAATAATTAAAGTTTAATTTTTGGTTTTTACACTGTGATAAAACACGGCGGACATTTGAGAACACGAGGGAATGTAGAAAACACTCGCCTGCGGCTCGTTTCTCGAGCGTTCTCAAATGTCCGGAGTGTTTTATCACAGTGCAATACACGGCTTAGGCTTCTTCATTTGCTTTATGATATATAGGTAATGTGGCGAAAAACAATAAAACATGCTTTTTCTATGTTTTACACTCTGATAAAACATGGGTTTTTGACCAATTAGAGCGCGAGCAGAGTCCTATCTATATTATAATGGGGTTTAAAGTTAGCTAGTCTACATGAGGTCCTTTATCTCTTATACTAGCAAGTAATTATCGGAAGAAACAATTTTAAGCCATGGTGACTGGAACATGGAACGGCTGGAGTCCAGTTAGGTTTGTAATAACACCGTTAGTTTTTAACAAAATCGACCGATATCGTTGCGGGAGTCCAAATTGTTTAATTTTAGGGAAAAATCAACAGGCAAGCCGAAGCTTGTTAACGATTTATTAATTTTTACCACAAAATTCGGGAGAAAAGCCATTTCTGATGGATTTTAGCAATATAAAGACAGAGTATTCAATGACAAGAACGAAACAACAAGTGCCCCGGCGACACGCAAATTCAGCAATGTGATATCTTTCTGTATTGAACACCAGTTCAGCCCATAAGCACCTTATCTTCTAGCGCTACAGTTTGGAGAAAAACCGGGAGTTCTATTATAAGAGACAATCGCATTCGAGACGCAATTTTAAAAAAAATGTTCTGATTTAAACTGATGCAGATATACTCTGTTTTCAAATGTTGTTTTGACCTTAGTCTTGGTTACCAGCATTAAGCCGCAAACCATTTGATAAACAACCTGTATATCAAAGGGTTACCGCTCATTATGAATTTTGCATCGGAAACTCAAATGCAGACCACTGACAAACGCGAACGATAAGGAGAAGCCCGCTTGCTCTCGTTTATTTAGTAACCCACAGACGTTTAAACTGCAATCGTCTTGGAATACACAATTTGGACGTTTATGATAATGTGCCACGATTTCTTTAAGGTATCACAACATACACTGCACCTGCAACTAGCCTATAATTTAAGCTAATTTAACAAGTAGAGATCAGAAGTTTCTAGTGCTAAAAGTCTACATCGGCTTATTACAACACGTGCGATCAGATACGCGAGTCGGCCTAAACCTCGCGGGAAAAAAAGATATAAAAAGACTTTTTCTTCGACTGCGACAATTCATCGAAAGGCGACAGGAAAAGTACAAACAACGAAATACCATTCTGTTTTGATACGTTTCGAACGAGGCTTTCCACTTCACCTCTACACAAATCGCAAATTTTGTTCTGGAAACGAAAACTATTTTCGGCCATCATTTCTTTTTTTAACTCAAATTAAGGATGTGGACGCCAGGGTTATGACCCTTCCACACTACGCCGGGGAAATCTGAAAACGCAGCTTTATTTCTACGGTTAGGCCTACCGCCCACACTAATCCGTCACGAAAACGGAGTTTTCAAACTGGAGGAATTTGAAAACGCCCGCTTTGCGTTTTAGTTTGGACGGAAAACATTTTCAAAACGGAGCTTTTCGAAAACGATGGCGTTACGATAATCATGTGATTTTCCTGACACGACTTTTCCTCAAACACAAATCCAAAATGACCGGTGATGTTTGCGTTTTCAAATTTCTCCGGTGTCGGTGTAAACGGAAAACATTTGATGAGTTTTCAAAGTGAAACCTCCGTTTTAAATTACTCCGGCGTAGTGTGGACGTGGCTTCAAACAAATGATGAATACTTGTATACATTCAAATAACGAAAGGCACAGCTTATAAGCAAGCCAGTTAAAATAACGTACCGCACTGAGACGGTAACGAGAGGGGGGGCGTTGGGATTTTCGGTTTTGCGGATTTGGCCAATTTTTTGTTCGGTTTTTCAGTTTCGCACTTAAAAACTGCGATTTTTCAGTTTTGGTGTCTTGTGCGGGTTGCTGGTTTTTTCCAATTTACTCTTTGGTTTTCGGTTTTTGTCAACAATGATGGCGGTTTTTCGGATTTTTCTGCCCGATGCATTTTACGGTTTTTCTGGTTCTACCAAGGAAGTTACACCCCGCAGTCGCACTAAAACTGTAATTCCAAGGGACCACTTACAGTTAGAGAAATGCATGACAAGCCTACTATTCTCTTTAGCAGCCATTATTTGGGTCGTAACGGCTGCCAAGCAGACTATGAAAAGCTAAAGATAACATCAAAGCAAAAGACTATTTCTCAAATATCACGCGTACGCTGTTGGGATAATATCTTGTTGACTTTGACCTTAATACTGTGGACCATCGAATTGGAAGTTGTCTCCCTTTTCGTCGCGAGAATAACATTGCGCTCACTCGCTCCGTCCACGTGGAATAAAAGCAAAGGAGAGACTGTTTGGTTGTGAAAAAAAGTAGTTTGGCTGTAAAATGGGGCTGCTATTGTGCCTACGCAGATGAAAATTCTGACAATGGCAATCAAAAGGTAACTTCAGAATGTGGTCTTTCTTCAATTCTGAAACAAAAATCGCCTAAAATCATTTTATCGTGCAATTTGTTTCTAGTTTCACATTGCTATAGGTCTGTGGAGCCGATTTACACAAAAAAAAAGTAGACTAAGATGTGCTGTGCACTAACGAGCTGGGAATACGCAGAAAGAACTTCAGAAAGTAACACAAGTTTAGACGTATAAAAATTAAATAACAGAAAGAGAGCCCGGATTCTGAAGACTATCAAAGCTTGTTAGGGAGGAGGGCTTTTATTTGGACGAAATTTCTTGCGGTTTGGCAGCTTTCCGCGATTTTTTGCGCGGTTTTTCGGTTTCTAATAGGCCCCAACGCCCCCCTCTTACCGCAGATTTACTACTGGCTGAAGGCAAATGATCTTTAAATAACCTATTCGCGAATCTATGGTACAAAGTCTATGCATGCATTACCAATTATATTATTTAGCTTTAAAACTGACTCCAAATGTAGATATAAAATTATGTAGATAAATTAAACACGGTCTTTCGTGCTATAAAAATTTATGTACGCAAATATGTCTGCGATTATAGGGAGCGGCGAAGGATTAGACAATTAGAAAAGCTATCGTGTTTTGAAAGATATGGCTGTTGAAATAGTCTGGTGTTAAATCTGTTTTTTGATACAACTCGATCAGCTCTCGACCTTGGATCTTTAATTAGTACCACCAGTTCATCTATTTTCAAAACGTCCCACTTGCCATGACTTGCTCAGACTTTAGCGATAGAGACCTGGATAAATAAGTAAGCGGATAAGTAGCATTTGATATTCTTCATTTCTCATCGATAACATCAGTGGAAAATTCGTCGGGTGGCCTTTGAGCTGGGAGAGTAAGTGCCTATGGGGTATATATAGAATACAGATATATAAGCCAGTAGTAAGGTAATTTAGCCCTTCAGTAAATTCTCATTACAATTTCCTAACACATTCAGACGAACAGGCGACAAGAATATGGGATCTAGTCACTATTTGAGAGTATAAGTCTTTACATAACACTATTTTTTAGGCCTTACATCAATATACGAACAATAGACAACAATCTCCGCATTGACGGCTAAATAGTTGCGCGACAACACAAGATAGAATTACTAGAGTTTATCGTCATATCTCTAGATAGTGGAAAGACAGACAGACTCTTGGTGATAAGATGATGAAAAGCAAGACCAATCACGTAAGTCTTGAACAAAATTTTGAACAACTCGCACGTGAATTCAAAGACCGCATTTGTTCAAAACATCAAAAACTGTTGTACTTTGAGCCAAACATGACCTCTTTACACCGAAATACAAAACCTTTTCTTGTGTTATTGTCAGAAGTTATATCCGAAAAGAAAATCCATTTAATTCAGTTTAACAAAACAGAGATCAGCGCTGAACATCTTTTCGAGGGTTATATGTTCTCGAGTTTTGGTGATAACGGAATCTCTCGGCAACAAGATGAGATTAACAACGCCAATGTTATAATCTTGTTAAAGTCAGCCTGGTGATAGTCTGTGAGCTTAAGTGATGTTTCCTAGCCTTTGCACGGAGCCTAACAAGTTGGTGCATTTCAGTGAAATGAAATTATGAGATGAAGTCTCCTAATAAAACGTCACTATTTGCTTTGAGTTTTAATACCTTAGCCGTTTGTAGTTTTTAACCCTGTGCAAGTTAGACACTTTTGTATGTTACTAATGTAATGGAAAAACTACCAAATGAAAGGGCTATTAAACAGCTTTAATATAAGTGATCAAAGACGGGCGTTTTATAAAGAAGTTTGTATAGATGTAACCGTCTTTGAGATGAAACCTGGTTTTCGTTTGTCAAGAAAATTTCCCAGACAATCAGGAATGCCGCTTTTTCTGGATCTCGCCCTTCTAAGACATTCAAAACACGACGTCATGAATTCTTTTAGCTAATTCTCTGAAACAGTTGTCGACTCGAGAAAGACTGGGCAACAGGAAGTCTATTTTTACCAGAGTTAAACAAACGTTCTGTGAGGTGGGTCAAGCGAGCATTCCATAAACAAAAATTTATTCTTGGACATCCTTGAAGGGTTTAGGTCAGTTCCATGCCTCGATGCTTGGTACATGCAAATGCTTTGTACAGCAGATGCAAGGTCCGATGACAAAATCGACTCTACACTTCTTTTCCCAAATCATTAACATCTGGGATTTTCAGGTAAAACTAGATATTCCCGATTGATAGGAACTTTTAGCCACATCTAAGAACTAGTATTTAGATTATATGTATTCGTTTCTATCGAGTTGTAATGAGACGAGCGTAAGTTTGACGAAGAGGAACTGCTGAAAGATTACGAGCCGAAGACAACTTCTTCCGCAGTTTTATCTTTTCATGTATGATTAAGTCTGATTAGTAAATGATAGTGATGTAGCTAGCTTTCAACTGCTTCAGTTTTAAGGGTCTTTTAAGGCCCCACGACAAATTTCCTTTAATAGATCACAACATTTAAATTGTGCCGCGAACCAAAAGAATGGAAGTGATTGTATATACCCTTCTGTTTGAGCCACGGGTCTCGTAAAAACAGTATTCTCACTATGAAGAGTTTGTTTGGCTGCATGCGATTCATGCTATACGCGAGATATCGCTTTAAACAAAATTAGACACAAAGAGAACCGGACGTACTAAGCGCCGGAGTTTTGCGGTTACCCTGTAGTGGATTTTCCTCCCAGGGCGAGAAATTCCTGCTGTACGGAAAACTTGGATAAACGTGGGACTCACGTGAAAGGGTTGTGAGCGACTTATGCCCAATGCGGGCTCTACCTCTACCAATATTTGGCTACCATTTCTTCAAGCTGTTTGGCAAAACCGTGCCGTGGCGATAAGAGAACAGTCAACCATTAATATTACGCGTGTCACATGAAGAGCACTTCAGCTATCACAGTTCAGGAGCTGTCAGCGCGGTAACTCAATTCTGCACATTTAAGCAGGTCTCCTTCGTTAAAGCTTCATGTAACTGATCCCTTTCATTTACAGGCCACTTTCTTATGCTAAAAGCCCTGCACTGACTGAAGCCAAGAAATCAAATTTCCTGCATGATTCTAGCGTAGTCTGTTTTAAAAGCGAGACAACTATGAAGCATTTTTAATTAGCTTAAACAATGACCATGCCAAAAAAAGTCTAAAATGTTAATTAAAAGACATGGCTGACTGGCCAAGCTTCTACATGTTAGAAAGTTTAAGTTGTGTTTCGAAACAACATTCAATTTCCGGCCGTGTAAATGCGATGAAAATGAGTTGCATGAGCAAGTTTTTCCTCTTCCTTTCCTTGGCATCTAAATGGATTTTTGAATGAGACGGATCAAGTTCTGGCTGCTCAGAGTAGCTACGAAAAATTTTATCGCCGTAAACGGACCTTAAAAAAAAAAAAAGATTCGGCGCTAATGACGATTTTTTTTATTCAATACAACTAGTGAAAAATGTTCGAGCTTTCGAAACCACTTTTAATGTTCTAGTCAATTCTAGTTCATATTCTGGAAACAGTTTAAAATAGTAAACACGCAGGTAGGCTTTGCCACAATACCGTACGATACCGTAACAATCTGGTTTATGTTTCAAGCGAATGCAAATCGGCCCTCGAGGGATAATTCCTTGATCTATGGCTTTTATCACTCAGTATCGAGGTCTGAATTTGGTCTGTTCATACAAACGAGCTAAAACATGAAGAAAACGTTCTTAAAATCTGAGTGGTATGAGACCGTGAGAATGAAAGAGAAACATTTGCTAGCTAGCTGCTTTTGATTATGAATAAATGATAACGCTCCTTTAAAGGAAATAATTCAGTATATTCCTTTCATTTTCCTCGGTGGTATAATATAATTTCTTCTTTGTGAATTAAGGACCAGTAATTTCGTTTTTCCAATTATATATTCGTCCTACCCTTTTGTGTTGCTTTGTCAAAATTTTTAGTCACTGCTTTCGGCTTCATTGTTATGTGCATATGTGAAAAAGTGTCAATTTTCTATTTTCAGCTCCGAGCTATATAGATAACGTAATATTCATTTCCAATTTTTTTAATATAATATACCGATATAAATATGTAGAAAAAAACACCCAGGGGAAAAAAATCCAGAATGGAATGGAAGGCTTAAGTTGTAATTATGAATAATGTAAACCTTATTGATAATTATAATAAGTTTTAAACAAGTTGAATTTAGTTTTGCGTCCTGTATATAATATCATCTATGAATGCTGTGAGAAAATTTCTTCAAGTGATTCGCGCGGTTGGAAACCATTTCGGCAGGTACAAAGGGGCGGGGGCTGTCACCCAGAACTATCTTGCGGTTTCCATCAATATTGCCACGAATGTGGAACGATATAAGTAGGCATGATAAACAGCAATTCTTAGCATAAACAACCATGAGCTAGCCAGGTAAGTGGAGTATAATTTTTTCGTGATAATAGCGCGAGCTCGAATGTTTGCATTGCCGATTTGGTTAAGACATCCTGGCAGGAAATTAGATGTTTAACAGAATTTTGCCTGTCGAAAAATAATGCTTTCCTTTCACGTCGTGTGGTCTAATTTCTTCTTCGATTCGTAATTTAAACACGGCTATAGTTAGCATTTTTCTTTTTTTTTTTGTGGAATTTTTTTACTGTCAAAACAAAATACTAAAGTATTTCTCTCGGGTCGACGGAAAGCCACGACATGTTCATTGAGTGTAACTCCGCAAAACAGCTGACAGTATATTAACTGATATTCACTTGGTCAGATCAGTCGGCTTATCTACGAATGAAATAAGCTTTATTTACTTTTAAGGAAAAGGAGAACTAATTGGTTTACCTATAGCACAACTTTTGAATGTTTTGTCCGGAAATGTGTGATGATTCTATATAATAGAAATGTACAAATATCCACTTTATTTTCACGCATCTGTTTATTCTGCGACTAACGTCAGTAAAATTATTGATACTGTGTATTCACAAAATGATGCTTACAACGCCGGCAAAAAAGCCTTATTTTGCAGTAGCAAATTAAATGTGTCTAAAATCTGTCATCTCCATTATCCATCAAACTTTTTTGGCACAATTATACAAACATTTACGTGGTTATAACCCCGCGTTTAATGTAAAAATAATATTTGAGCTTTTCAAAGGAAAATCATCTTTCATATTCAACCGCTTGTCCTCAAATCGTTGCCTTTGAAATTCTTAAATTTTACGCGAAAGGAAAATCTTTTTTTTTTATTTTGAATGACTGAGCATTTCTGTGGACAGAGCGAGGATTTTCAATTCAGCTCTATTTAAAAAGGACCATTTGTTATTCAAAAAACCATCATTTTAATTGATATTTTGAAGCTCAAAAGCAGATCAATTCAAATCATTTCGTTATCATGCAAATTAGCAGACAAAGTCACAGAGAGCGGAAAGCAGCTGTACTAACAGATATTTCCCTGAGCCAACATTACAGAAATTTATTTGGGTTTTACACTAGACTGTAAAATGAAAGGAAGTTAAATCAATCTTTACTTTGTTTGGTTCACAGATACACCTAAGTGAAAGAGGCATCTCGAGATAAATCCAGAGAAAAACCTCAATACAAAGTCGTCGCCGAGCAAAACACTCCAGAAAAAAAAACACTCAAACCTCCATCATTCAACAGACGTCAGCGAAAAATACCGAGATCAGTCTGTTAAAAAGGATTGAGACAGACAGCTCTGGCAGATCAAAGCTCCAGTCCGCGGGAAACTTATATCATGAGTTATCATAAAAGCGGAGGAAATATGACGGTAGAGTCAGATAACTTGACCGGGAGTTCAGGCAGCTCTGTTCAGAAATTCAAGTTTTCTTACGACACAATCCCTCCCATAGTCTTCTTGGTCTTTATTTTGGCGATAAATGGCTGTGTTATTCTGCTCATAACATGTTACTCGTCCCTAAGAAAAACAAGCAATATCATCTTGGCCAGTTTAGCAGTGTCAGACTTTCTGGTGGGATTCGTTGGTATTCCTCTCCTTGTGACCTGCAGTAATGCTACACATCTAAATTTGGTATGTACCAGTTCAATTACGTTTTTCGAATTTATGGCCCTGTCTACCGTGCTACACATCACCGTAATGACCTGCGATCGTTACATTTACATTATGTGGGCCTTACGTTACCGTGATATTGTTCACCGCAGTAGAGTTTTAATAGTCCTTGCAATCACATGGATAATTAGTCTTGGGCAGTCTCTAATTCGCCTTTCGTGGACTTGGAATGTCACTGTTAAAACAGCTGTTGAAGACTTGGCTCTGGTCCAAGAGAAGGAAACAATATACTTTGTATTCAATATCGTAGTGTTCTTCGGTGTTGCTATGATTGTCATGGCTGCCCTTGACGCGCACATGTTGCTGTTGCTTCGAAGGCAGTGCAAGAGAATTGCGCGGGAAAACGTGCCAGTGGAATGCATCAAACATGAACAGAAGCTTCAAAAGAGGCAAAGAAGAGCTGTGTTGACATGCGTGTTGCTTCTTATCCTGTACGTCATCTTCTGGCTTCCTTGTTTTGTTTTACAACTGTTTCAGCTTTATCATCCGCAACATGTACCTTACTTCCTTCTCCTAACGATATATTACCTCAGGCTTTGTACATCGGTATTTAACCCTCTTGCCTACTCCCTGAGAAAGCATGATTTAAAAAGAAAGCTTAAATGTATCATTTTCAACTTAATTCCACGTTCACGGCCGAACGTTTCCGAGATTAGTACTGTACAGTCTCTTTGAACAGGTGAATGTAATTTTGAAGGAATATTTAATTTAATTTATGGCGATAGATACAAAGATTAACACAGAACGTCTGTTGGAATAGAGACAAGCGACAAAGTATTACTGAGCTACTCACTTTAGTCGTCATACCTTTTCTTGCTTCTAAGTTCTTCAAGGTTTTGTGTTGACTACTTGCTTTTCGTTTGAATTGTATATAAAGGTTGGTTAAGGCCCTACCAAACGCACTCAATATTTTAACGCAACCTTTTACGTAGTAAAGCCTGTTTAGCCCAAATGGGTGGAAACAGGGACTATTGTATATAAAGATTGGTTAAGGCCCTACCAAACGCACTCAATATTTTAACGTAACCTTTTACGTAGTAAAGCCTTTTTAGCCCAAATGGGTGGAAATAGGGATTGTGAGTGTAAAGTGCTAGTGCCTTGCCCAGGAACAAAAGCAATGCCCGAATCCGGACCGCTAGCCCCGGAGTACCTCGCCCTGACCCCTTGGCCACCGCGCCTCCCACTACCTGTTGCAACAATAAACTAGGATACCTGGATACGTTGCAATTGACCTCCCTGATGCCCCATTCAGCATCTTGCAGCATAGTGCAACAGTGTCGTCAAACGTGTGCAGAATACTGTAGGTATCAAGTTTCCAAATTGTTTACCATTACATTGAAATGTTGACTGACTCTCGCCAGGTCTTCAAAACACCGTATTTTATTGTAAAGAAACAGAATATTGCAATCACAGTATAAGAATTTCCTCATCAACAACTAGCTCTATTTGCATGAACATATATACATACATTATTGCAAAAGCTTTTGTAAACTAAAACTTACACAGCAATGCACATATAATAAGGTTATGACATAGCAATCAAGTTACATCAGTTTGATTTGAAAGAATAATATTTCGTAGATCAAAGCAAGATGAAATGAATTTTACTAATTGAATATAAACATAATGATTTATAGAAGTCATGAGTTCGCCGATGACGTGCGATGGAGATAATTGTTTAAAAGTCGGAATGATAATCTCTATTTTTCCATAAAATTCATCTCTTAGAATAGAGTATTTTATGCAATACACAAGAAAGTGAGATTCATCTTCCATTCGTTTAGATTCGCAAATAGGGCGGAGTCTGGAAACGCTTGGAATTTGATCATATCTACCAGTTTCAATCCTTAGTTACAATGTTTTGCCGTTACTATACTGAACACAAAAACGAAACTGCATTTCAGAAAAAAAAACTAACGAAATCCCTGTTCAGTTATCCTAGAAGGTCAGCTTTCAGTACAATGTAACTTTTCGCGAGACTTGGAATAGAGTTGTAACGTTTTGTTCTGCTCTGAGATTGGACTTCAAGTGATCCCAGTGCCAGAGCTGATTCCACCGCAAAAAAGTTACAAATGGCGTGGACTCCACAAAAAGTTTATGGGAGGATATGTACCTTTTTCATTATCCTAGGTGAAGAAATGACAAGCACCTCAGACATGAAAGCAGCAATAAAAAACGTTACACATAATACGCAAAATACCAAATTGACCTGTTTTTCGTTTAGGAAACACACCGCAAAAATAAACAGGAATCTTCGAAGATGCCTCTGCCATTTAANTAAAATAGTAAACACGCAGGTAGGCTTTGCCACAATACCGTACGATACCGTAACAATCTGGTTTATGTTTCAAGCGAATGCAAATCGGCCCTCGAGGGATAATTCCTTGATCTATGGCTTTTATCACTCAGTATCGAGGTCTGAATTTGGTCTGTTCATACAAACGAGCTAAAACATGAAGAAAACGTTCTTAAAATCTGAGTGGTATGAGACCGTGAGAATGAAAGAGAAACATTTGCTAGCTAGCTGCTTTTGATTATGAATAAATGATAACGCTCCTTTAAAGGAAATAATTCAGTATATTCCTTTCATTTTCCTCGGTGGTATAATATAATTTCTTCTTTGTGAATTAAGGACCAGTAATTTCGTTTTTCCAATTATATATTCGTCCTACCCTTTTGTGTTGCTTTGTCAAAATTTTTAGTCACTGCTTTCGGCTTCATTGTTATGTGCATATGTGAAAAAGTGTCAATTTTCTATTTTCAGCTCCGAGCTATATAGATAACGTAATATTCATTTCCAATTTTTTTAATATAATATACCGATATAAATATGTAGAAAAAAACACCCAGGGGAAAAAAATCCAGAATGGAATGGAAGGCTTAAGTTGTAATTATGAATAATGTAAACCTTATTGATAATTATAATAAGTTTTAAACAAGTTGAATTTAGTTTTGCGTCCTGTATATAATATCATCTATGAATGCTGTGAGAAAATTTCTTCAAGTGATTCGCGCGGTTGGAAACCATTTCGGCAGGTACAAAGGGGCGGGGGCTGTCACCCAGAACTATCTTGCGGTTTCCATCAATATTGCCACGAATGTGGAACGATATAAGTAGGCATGATAAACAGCAATTCTTAGCATAAACAACCATGAGCTAGCCAGGTAAGTGGAGTATAATTTTTTCGTGATAATAGCGCGAGCTCGAATGTTTGCATTGCCGATTTGGTTAAGACATCCTGGCAGGAAATTAGATGTTTAACAGAATTTTGCCTGTCGAAAAATAATGCTTTCCTTTCACGTCGTGTGGTCTAATTTCTTCTTCGATTCGTAATTTAAACACGGCTATAGTTAGCATTTTTCTTTTTTTTTTTGTGGAATTTTTTTACTGTCAAAACAAAATACTAAAGTATTTCTCTCGGGTCGACGGAAAGCCACGACATGTTCATTGAGTGTAACTCCGCAAAACAGCTGACAGTATATTAACTGATATTCACTTGGTCAGATCAGTCGGCTTATCTACGAATGAAATAAGCTTTATTTACTTTTAAGGAAAAGGAGAACTAATTGGTTTACCTATAGCACAACTTTTGAATGTTTTGTCCGGAAATGTGTGATGATTCTATATAATAGAAATGTACAAATATCCACTTTATTTTCACGCATCTGTTTATTCTGCGACTAACGTCAGTAAAATTATTGATACTGTGTATTCACAAAATGATGCTTACAACGCCGGCAAAAAAGCCTTATTTTGCAGTAGCAAATTAAATGTGTCTAAAATCTGTCATCTCCATTATCCATCAAACTTTTTTGGCACAATTATACAAACATTTACGTGGTTATAACCCCGCGTTTAATGTAAAAATAATATTTGAGCTTTTCAAAGGAAAATCATCTTTCATATTCAACCGCTTGTCCTCAAATCGTTGCCTTTGAAATTCTTAAATTTTACGCGAAAGGAAAATCTTTTTTTTTTATTTTGAATGACTGAGCATTTCTGTGGACAGAGCGAGGATTTTCAATTCAGCTCTATTTAAAAAGGACCATTTGTTATTCAAAAAACCATCATTTTAATTGATATTTTGAAGCTCAAAAGCAGATCAATTCAAATCATTTCGTTATCATGCAAATTAGCAGACAAAGTCACAGAGAGCGGAAAGCAGCTGTACTAACAGATATTTCCCTGAGCCAACATTACAGAAATTTATTTGGGTTTTACACTAGACTGTAAAATGAAAGGAAGTTAAATCAATCTTTACTTTGTTTGGTTCACAGATACACCTAAGTGAAAGAGGCATCTCGAGATAAATCCAGAGAAAAACCTCAATACAAAGTCGTCGCCGAGCAAAACACTCCAGAAAAAAAAACACTCAAACCTCCATCATTCAACAGACGTCAGCGAAAAATACCGAGATCAGTCTGTTAAAAAGGATTGAGACAGACAGCTCTGGCAGATCAAAGCTCCAGTCCGCGGGAAACTTATATCATGAGTTATCATAAAAGCGGAGGAAATATGACGGTAGAGTCAGATAACTTGACCGGGAGTTCAGGCAGCTCTGTTCAGAAATTCAAGTTTTCTTACGACACAATCCCTCCCATAGTCTTCTTGGTCTTTATTTTGGCGATAAATGGCTGTGTTATTCTGCTCATAACATGTTACTCGTCCCTAAGAAAAACAAGCAATATCATCTTGGCCAGTTTAGCAGTGTCAGACTTTCTGGTGGGATTCGTTGGTATTCCTCTCCTTGTGACCTGCAGTAATGCTACACATCTAAATTTGGTATGTACCAGTTCAATTACGTTTTTCGAATTTATGGCCCTGTCTACCGTGCTACACATCACCGTAATGACCTGCGATCGTTACATTTACATTATGTGGGCCTTACGTTACCGTGATATTGTTCACCGCAGTAGAGTTCTAATAGTCCTTGCAATCACATGGATAATTAGTCTTGGGCAGTCTTTAATTCGCCTCTCGTGGACTTGGAATGTCACCGTTAAAACAGCTCTTGAAGACTTAACTGCTCAACGCAAGAAGGAAACAATATACTTTGTATTCAACATCATGGTGTTTTTCGTTATTCCTCTGATTTTCATGGCTGCCCTGGACGCGCGTATGTTGCTGTTGCTTCGAAGGCAGTGCAAGAGAATTGCGCGGGAAAATGTGCCAGTGGAATTCATCAAACATGAACAAAAGCTCCAAAAGCGGCAAAGAAGAGCTGTGTTGACATGCGTGCTGCTGCTCATCCTGTACGTCTTCTTCTGGCTGCCTTATTTTACTTTACAACTGTTACAGCTTTACAGTCAAACACGCCTTCCTAACAAACTTCTCGTCACAATATACTACCTCCGGCTCTGTACATCGATATTCAACCCGCTTGCTTACACGCTAAGGAAACAAGACTTACGGCGAAGAGTTAAATCTATCCTTTACAACTTATTTCCTAGTTTACGGCGGGACGGTGCTGACGATCGCACAGAACAGTTTCCACTGAGCAGCCGAACGGATCAGTTTTAGTCCAATGTTTCAACATGATAAGTATCACAGATCCGATGTGGGGAAAATAATGCCAAATTTTCATTTCATTTTCGTAGTGGCGACTTACTTGACCCTTTTCGAACCTGACAGGGAGGGAAGGTACTTCATTTGAGGCCCCAACTAACTTTTAACATTTGTAACTTCAAAAGCAATAAGTCCAAAATCTGGTGACGCTTCCGAGAATTATGATCTGCAAACAACTTGGTATAAAATGTCATTAGCCAATAATTTTGACGTTACCATGGCAACTGTCTTTTGAAATTTGAAGTTTCCTTTTTTTGGTTCACTTTCTTGCAATAGTTTTCACTTTTTTAATATTTTTGAGCTTTAACTTATCGGTCTTGACTATTTTAGTGTCAGTTTTGGTTGTTTTCTATTGTTTCGCAGCCGCCTTAAAAAAGGAATAACAATGCCATCATTATTCCATGTTATAAACCTGTTACAGACTTATGTTATAGACTTCAAAGGACATATTTTGGACACGCGATTATTCCTCCGAGTTTCATTTTTTTTCTTAGCACTCATACTCTAAGAGTTACAAGATTAGGGCTTAAAAAGTCCACCCCCTCTAGCCCCTGGTCGCAGAAGACCTAAGCGAAGTCGGTCTGATTAGGGTAAACACTTGGTTGGCAATTAACTCTTATTTGCCATTTAAATCTGTCATCGTCTTTCTTGAACTCGAAATCGATATCATATTGTATTTTTCATTGAAATTTACTCGGAACTTGTTCAGCAAACGAACTACAGTTAAATTGTTAAAAGCGGGAAAGGTTTTAAAAGCAAATGGACAGTACTGCATTCTTGATCCAAGAAAGATGGATTAGAGTATCAATCATCTTGGGTTTGAGTTTCCAAGTGCCGCCTTTCTTTTTCCGATTTAACAGTCTCAGGTTGTTGATTTATTGTTTAGAGCAGAACTCTGGGTAAGGCAATAGGAATCAGTTATGTAGCACTCACCAATATCAAAGTGTATTTGATCGCCCTCGGAGAGAAAAATTTAACTTGCCTCCAAAACAATCAACCGCAATGGATTCTGGTACCTAGCATTTCGGTCTCCAGATTAATAGCTACGTTGTAAATTCGAAGTTAGGAATCAGATGTTATCCCAGACTAAAGTCCATTTCCCATTGAAACGCCAGAAAATTGTAGTCTAGCTAAATGGAGAAGTAATTGATTTTAATATGGAAAATTAATAGCAATTAATTTAAATGTAAGAAAGGTTTTTGTTTTTTCGCCTAGCGAACAAGTGTTTAAAAAGGTCTGTAAAAACACATATGTCAGACAGAGCAGTTATTTATCTTCCGCTTGTGGCTGTTAGCACTTAGGCACCAGCCACACTACGCCGGAGAAATTTGAAAACACAGCTTAGCCTTCCACACTAATCCGTTATGAAAAGAGAACTTTTCGAAAACGCTCTTAAAACCAGAGGAATTTGAAAACGCCGGCATTTTGTTTTCATATGGACAGAAAAAAACTTGGAAACAAAGCTCTTCGTAAACGATGGCGTCACGATAATCATATGATTTCCCTGACTGAGTTTTCCTCAAACACAAATCCAAAATGACCAGTGATTGTTGCATTTTGAAATTCCTCCGTCGTAGTGTGGACGAAAAACATTTGATGTGTTTTCAGAGTGGAACCTTCGTTTTCAAATTCCTCCGGCGTAGCGTGGACGGGGCCTGGGAATGACGAATTTATTTAGTAGGCTTGAAATGGTCAAGATCTTGTCATATCACTGCTGTAACTTGTGAAATATCTGTATAGACGTACGTCGACGCTATAGTCTTAAAAACTAA